GGTCATATTTTCCAAATAAAAGAGCTTTGCAAGGAAGGCTGGATGGCTCCATGGGGAGCTGAGGGAAGAGGGGGCCTTTTCCCTCAAGGGAACTCCATCTGGATTGGGAAAACAGCAAACATGGAAGGTCCCAGTTCTGCCCAGACCTCAGCCCCTGAGCTCTTCTGTGCTTTCAGCAGGTGAGATACACCCTGTTCCTTCTGCAGATGGAGAAATCAAGGATTCTGGATGAATGGGAAAATGGGAACTGAGTAGGATCCTCTGGGATATTATCCCATGACATCCTGGATTATAAAGCCAAGGAGGAAGAACAACAAGCAAATGGTAAATGGTAAATTGCCCCAAATGGTCATGTTTTGGTTTCCAATAACTCATGTCCAGAGGTGTTAAAGAGCTGGAGACAAATCTGCCTTTGGAATCCCACTGGTATCCAAAGGATTTGTGGGACAAGGAGTTCCGAAGTCCCTCTCCAGCCTTGGAGAGGAGTAGGGAGCACTTGGGGTGGCTGAGTGAGAAGCTCCATGTCTGGTGGGGTGGAAAGAAGAAGGAATTTCATTTACCAGGTTTCTCTCCCCAAATCCATGTCTGACCATGGAATGGCCACAATGGGCCAGCCCAAAGTCCCTCCTTGTCCAAGATCCCTCCTTTCAGGTTCCTGGAAGGAGGAATGAAACAACAGGAGGAATGAAACTTTGCTCTTCTCCCAAATAATTCCTTGGTTTCCAATAATTCATATCCAGAGGTGTTAAAGAGCTGGATACAATTCTGCCTTTGGAATCCCACTGGTATCCAAGGATTTGTGGGACAAGGAGTTCCAAAGCTTGTTCAAGTGCTGGATGTGCCCCACCCTGATTTCATCTGCCCCTCCTGGTTCCTGGAGGAAACTAGGAGCACTCAATCCCTTTTCCCTTTGTCTTCCCCCTCAGTTTTCCAGCCCTCCACCATCTCCCAGCAATTCATCCTGAACAGTTTTGTTGTTAAGGATCCCTCCCTTCCTTTGGATCTTTCCCGTTGGAAAAGTGCATTTCAATCTGGTTTATTGAGCCTTGCAGGGCTCGTTTGGCTTTAGGACCTGCAGGGAGCAGAAAGGTTTGGCAGGAATGAAGGAGCAAAGGGGAGGTTTTCCTCATCCCACTTCCAGTCACACCTGCACTGGCACCTTCTCCCACCAGTTCCTGATTTAATCAGAGCAACAGAACAGCCAGAAATTAAATTAAATTATTAAATCCCATTGAATTATGGGATCATATTCCGAGCAGGTCCATTGTTTTCTGTGTTGTACAAAAGCCTGAATTCCCTGGAAGCAGGAGCAACAAAATTCCCAAAGGTTGCCCAGGAATGGCTTGGGAAGGTGAGAGCTGCCCAAGACAAAAGCTGTGCCATGGGTTGTCCGAACAGTTTGTTGGGATTTAGTTGGAGTTGAGTGCTCGGGAACATTCCTTGGCACAAACAAGCCACTAAAATCAGTGGAGCCATCCGGGCTTGGGGCTGAGGATGGAAAAATCCACCTCCTCTTCGGATCCATCAGGTTTCCTTCGGTGAGTAGGAGAAGCACAACTCTCCTTTCCTGAAGCTTCCCCAGAGACACCTCAGTGAGCCTTTGGGGAAGGGGAAACCCCCTGATTTTAGTGCCCCAAATAGCTAATATTTGAGATTTAATCTGATATCATCTCAGCCAGTGGAGACTTTAATCTGCTCATGGAATCCTGGAATGGTTTGGAGTGGAAGGGACCTTTAGGATCATCCAGTTCCAACCCCCTGCCATGGGCAGGGACACCTTCCATCATCCCAGGTTGCTCCAACCTGGCCTTGGACACTTCCAGGGATCCAGGGGCAGCCACAGCTGTGCCAGGGCCTCCCCACCCTTCCAGCCAGGAATTCCTTCCCACTATCCCATCTCTCCCTGCCCTCTGGCAGTGGGAAGCCATTCCCTGTGTGCTGCCCCTCCATCCCTTGTCCCCAGTCCCTCTCCAGCTCTCCTGGAGCCCCTTTAGGCCCTGCAAGGGGCTCTCAGCTCTCCCTGGATCCATCTCTTCTCCAGGGGAACCCCCCCAGCATTCCCAGCCCGGCTCCAGAGCAGAGGGGCTCCAGCCCTGGCAGCATCTCCGGGGCTCCTTCTGGAATTGTTCCATCACCTACAACTCAAGTCCTTCCCCAGCTTTGTGGCTGCACAGGAGATGTCTGACAGGCTGAGGGTCCTGTTCCAACTTTTAAAGTTATGTTTACACATCAAATTCCCTCCGGAGCTGAGAATTCCCCTC